GTGCAACAATGAATGAATGGAATTCCAAAATCTCTGTAGATGTTCATTGAAATGAAAAATAAACAACCTAAATTAAAAAAAAAATCTATAAAAATACAGATACATATGTATATATACAAAAATTTACTTCATTTTATATATATATAGGCTTTCACAATGAGGGTTTAGAGCCATCACCCACACACACCCCCTCAGAGTAAATCTGTGTAATCGATTTTTATTGCAACAAGCAATTTACTAGAGATGAACCGCTTATGTGACGATTGGTGCCAAACTGAGTTTTAAGTGAATAATCCTAAAACTTGAGTTCACTGCAGTAGTAACAGGAAATCCCCCCAACAAATAAATACACCTGTCTAATGTAAACCTGTATTGTTCAAGGGACAGATGTGTATGTGTAAATTAAGCTTAAACTTCATGTCTCTTAAACCTTAAAATAAACACACACACAACTTGTTTAACTTAAAATACATATGAAAATTCTAAGCCTTTGTTTACATTTCTTTTTTAAAATAAGTTTTTATGCAACTTTTTAGGAATTCATCTTAAAATAACATACCTGTTGTAAGGGAAATATCAAGAATACCTGTCTCTAATAAATACATGGTTTTCTTTAGTTTGATTTCAAAGAGTAAGCTGATCACCTGAAGGCAGCTCTTTAAAATGGAGTTCCTCTTGCTCTTCTGCAACTTTTCCGTGAAGTATGAGCGTGTCCCGGTATTTCCGATGAAGTCTGAACTCTGATACTGCACTAGGTACCAGGAGATCATCACAGCTCTCTCTTGAGTCCAGCTTCAAGGTCTGAGTCATTAGTTGTACCAAATCACTCATTTCATTTGTATGACCTTTACTGGAGGAAAAGAAAAAAAAAAGAAAATCTTGTTATTTAACTGGTTTCCCAAGACGTTTTTTAATATAGATCCAAAAACCACCTTTAGAGAGTTCTGCTTCCAAATGGCCATGTAAGCACTTACAGACGACTCTCCCACAAAGGACTATTAACATGACAAAATTTAAAAATCAGCTTCCTAAAGGGACTAGAGAATGAACAAAATCTCCTAGTAAATTTGAGGCAATCAACACCTTTTACCCAGAGGGTAAGTTACAGTAAGCTAAAAGGATAATAGTAAATTCACTGTCTGGCCTGAAGAACCATGTATCTGGCCATTCAGGACAGCCATTGCCACTAGAGTAAAGAGAAGAACCCTGCAGGGGAGAAAGCAGGAAAATGAAAGCCTAGATAGACTCTATGTACATATTCTGTCCAAAGTGCTGGATGGTCCCTGAATCACACATTAGTGGGCCAGAATCCCAGCAGCCTATGTATAAATAAAAGAACTGAACTGAGATGTGAGCTATTATTTAAGAGCCAGAATTTTTAGTGAGTACAAATTGAGTCAGCTAAAGTAAATGGAAAAAAAAAAAATATTCAGAAGAATATAACAGAATCCAAAATTTCTACAACATAAGTCACAAGATCCAAGACACAAGCCTCTCCAAACCTGCTGGAGGGCCATCTGTGGATCGGTTCTAACTCTATGGTTGTTGTTGTTGTTATGTGCCATCGAGTCGTTTGCAACTCCTAGCGACCCTATGTACAACAGCCCTAAACCGTGCTCTATGCTGTGCCAATCTCATTGCCTCAGACACACCCATCCCGATTACTCCAGTCACTGAATCAATCCACCTCATAGAGGGTCTTCCCCTCCTGCGCTGTCCCTCTACTCTACCCAGCATGATGTCCCTCTCTAAAG